TAAGTCCCATGCCCCTCTATATAGAATCCAGAGTTTCAAGAAGATTGGAGAAACTTATTTTTTCGCACAAAAAAATACAAAAAACGACAGGGGTAACACTGTCGTTTTTTTTTTTGGGTCGAAATTTTGAGTTTCTCCAATCTTCTTGAAACTCTGGATTCTGATAGAGGTCCATGGGACTTAGACCTGAGTGCAAAAATGGAGGCTCTAGATATATCAACCCGGTCACACTAAATGCGTCTCGCACGCAGTGCGTTTATAGTGCAATTTATACGTGAAAATTAGTTACATGCATAGGAAACACACCGTGTGTAATATACGTTTGGTTAGGATTATGGCAAGCCAAGAGGTTCAGTATTACACCATAAATTAATCGCGTTTACTACCATAGTTATTAACATATAGTAAGGATAAGCATGATGTGTATATTGCCTAATTGCAAGCTTGTTTCAGAAATGGTGACATTTTTTTTCCATCATTATTGAACATCATTATAGGAGTATTAGGTTGAATGAGTTAGAATTAAATGTTTTATTAATATTTAGAAAAAACATTAAGAAAATAAATTATGCAAGTACTTTTACTTTTAATACTTAAAGTACATTTGAAATCAGGTACTTTTTACTTTTTACTTAAGTATGGTTGTCATTGTGTTACTTCTACTTTTACTAAAGTAAATATTTATCTGGTTATTTGTATTTTTACTTAAGTACTGAGATTCAGTACTTCCTCCACCACTGCCGTATAGACAGGAGGAGGAGCTCGCAGGCAGTCGAGGGACGTGGAGGCTTAAAGTCTGATAAAGTCAAGGGAGAAGCTTATAGAGAGTCATAAAGTTGATCCTGCTTCTGCTTATGGACAGCTAATACTCACTCTCTCCGTCTCTGAGATTTGGAAGGGAATTATTCAGATTTCAATCGGCACAGCTACTAGAAGACATACAGGTTTGCTCATGTGACAGGCTCAGTTTGGCTTCAATTTTCTCCATTGAAATCAATGGGGTCCATTGTGGTGGGTCCAAACAATTTTGAACTAGGGGAAATCCATAATATTCATTGAGGCAATTATTAAATCTGAATATGTTTTCTCTCACCTTACATTCAAAAATATATTTGTATGTAGGGTGGACCATCATCTAATTTGCCACTCGGGTTGTTTCATGTCTGTAATAGGTTGAAACAAATTTATTAGCATTGGTTTTCTCGAAACTATAACAGGTTATTTAATTAGGTTTTTGAGTAAGATCTATTACAATTTTCAGCCTCTTGATCTTATTAACTGTGAGCTGTAACTGTACGTTCACACCACCGCCGACTTGAGCTTCCAATGCGGCCGGAAGTCGTTCATTTTCAATGGAAGGCGGCTTTTCTCAGCTGCTTCGGTCTGTGCATGCGCCGGAAGTGATCTCTCACGCGTGTACGTCACTCGTTGTTTACACAGAGATTTCAGAAGTTTACCCAATCACTGTGAAGATCTAAACATATTTAGATATACAGGAAATCGCAATGGAAGACGATTTCGATATATCCAAATATGTTTAGATCTTCACAGTGAAAGGTAACACTTGTGAAATCTCTGTTTAAACAATAATTGACGTAGGCGCGCAAGCGATCACTTCCGGCACATGCGCAGACCGAAGCGCCCGCGCCCTCGGATCAGTTGGACATGGCTGTGGTTACAAGAGGTAAAAACGATATAAATACTGTTCGTTTTCTCACACAAACCGCTCGTTTCGTGTCTTAGGCCAGCAATGTGTACTTACAATTACGAGTCATTAAATCATGTTTAATTTGGACTTCTCTTTGAGGTGAACCCAGGGCACCCCCTAAACCTGCATTATATGACTGACAGACAAGAACGGTTTGACCTAAAAATATCAAATTTGAAACTACTGCAGAAACAAAGACACCTACATCTTGGATGCCCTTGAGGTAATCAAAAATTAATTTCAAAGTGAACTATCCCTTTAAAGACATCGTTAAAATAGTCCAAGTGACTACAGTGGCTCAATTTTAACTTTATCAAGCGACGAGAACACTTTTTGTGCGCAAAAAACAACAAAATTAACTACTTTATTTCAACTGTTCACTTCATATGCGCCTCTAGTCAGTTAAACTAGTGTAATTGCGTAGAGCTACATCACACGTAGGCTCACTATTGGCCGACGCTGGTCGTGTCTGATGCGTGTGACGTACAACAACAGATCATACGCAATTACACTAGTTATTTATTTATGGGTTTTTTTGCGCACAAAAAGTGTTCTCGTCGTTTGATAAAGTTAAGATTGAGCCACTGTAGTCACTTGGACTATTTTAACGATGTCTTTAATAACTTTTCGAGGCCGGCAAGTTTCAATCCCACAAGAAGCCTATGGACTAGTATGCAGGAGTGATCCAGCTCTCAAATTTCATCAAAAATATCTTAATTTGTGTTCTGAAGGTTGGAACAACATGAGGGTGAGTAAATACTGACACAATTTTATTTTTGGGTGAACTAACCCTATAAGACTTGTCTGTGAAACAGGGGTTGATGTAAATATGTCCTTTCCTTGAGCCACCTGATTTGCCTATTGTTTAAGTTTTTAAATAAAGAGATTTGTTAATGTAATGCAGGCGGTGGAAGACACTGTGATGGCAGAGCTGCCCTGGTTTTTATGGGTCTGTTCATGGCAGAAATTTGTGAAAGGTGTGGCGAGTCAGCAACATCATGACAAAGGTGAAATCCCACATTTATTCTGGATTCTGCTGCTGCGCTGGGAGATCACCTGTAGAGACATGAAGGCCTCAGTAACTCTGCTGCTCTTTTTGAGTCTCTTTGAGCCGAATCTCAGCGTCTACAGATATCACTTTTTCGTGAATGTGACTATGCCCTGGAAAGAGGCACAGGATCATTGCAGAGCGCACTACGATGACTTGTCCACTATCCGTAGTAAAGATTTACAGATGCTCTCTACCAATCCTAAACTTAAAGCTGTTTCTTTTTGGATTGGACTTGAGAGAGACGGTAAAGACAATAACAAGTGGGTATGGTCCGAAGGCGGGGAGGCGACGATAACGTTTTGGAAAGATGGAGAACCAAATTTTGATCATGAAAAATGTGGCGCTATCAATAAATACATATATAAATCGTTTGACGCCAACTGCACCAGGAGTCTTGAATTTTACTGTATGAGGGTCTTTGAGCTGATCCTGGTGCAGCAGAAAAGCACATGGGAAGAGGCTCTGCTATACTGCAGAAATAACCACATCGACCTGGCCATACTCAACTCAGAAGACATCATGGAAGAAGCGCAGAGAAAGAGCACAGCAGCCGATACAGATTACATGTGGACCGGACTGCGCTTCATCGCTGGTCACTGGTTCTGGGTGAATGGAGAAGGCATGGGCTATAAGGTCTGGTCTGCGGGTGCAGAGCCCAAGTGTCCTGCCATGGATCAGCGCTGTGGGGTTTATGATCGAACACAGAACGTTTGGAAACCCGCAGACTGTGAGCAGAGACTCAACTTTCTCTGCGTCAAGAAGGGATACAAGTCTAATCTTTGAAGGTTAGCAGATACTGGGAACGGAGAGTTTCTCGCATAGTCATTTTCAGAAACATCTACTTTCTTTGCTTTGTGTTTGTAATGATGTTTTTTTTTCATCATTATGAAATTGATAATGATTTTACAGACAAAGTTGCTCAAAATATTGACCTGTGTAATGCGTAAGAAATCAATTTAGCACTCATGACACTTATTTTATTCAATGCATAGAAATGTTCAAAAACTGACTTGTAACTAAATAAATGAATGTTAGGATTCTTTTATTTAATATTCACTGTTGTTTTGGTGGCAGCACACGTCTCGCTGCGTAAGTGACATTGGAGCAACTTTTATTACGCCAGTCTGGTGACATTCCCTCATCAATCTGTAGGTTGGATTCTATCAAGGACTTATAAAATGTTTTGAATAATTTACATTTAGAATATTTGACAAAAAGTTAATTTTACTTGTGCTAGAAGATATTCTGGCATCATTAACCTAATTGATTTTTTTTTAATAACAGTGAATTTAAAAAAAATCATTTCACCAATTGCCTACATTTTCAATTTTATGTCTAAAAATATTATTTGTCTTAAATTACTTTGTAGGTGTTGGTGTAGAACAATATATACAAACTGTGTGCTGGTTTCAGTAATGATCAGTGAACAAAAAAAATTAGAAAAAAAATTAATATAAAGGCAAGACATTTTTCTATTATTTTGACCTTGGTAATTCCATTATTTTGGCATTTATTATTAAGGCATGCCTAATGAATGGTCATCTCCAGGACACTGCTAATCTGCTAATGTTTTTAAACGTAATGTTGAGTATGGCCATCGATGATGTATCAAAGCTCTTTACTTCGCTTTAAAGGAGTAGTTCACTTTTAATAAAACTTTTGCTGATAATTTACTCACCCCCGTGTCATCCAAGATGTTCATGTCTTTCTTTCTTCAGTCGAAAAGAAATTTTCGACTGAAATACTGTTTTACTAGTATTTTGGTAAAAATTTAAAATTTGTACAGTACAAATTTTATTTTTACAGTAATACTTTTTTCTAAAATACTGTTTATTATTTGGGTCTTTTAGCTGGACAGCAAAAAAATGTTGAAAAGTTGAAATTGTGGGTTTATATGGTCAGACACTGAGTGTGTCATTATATTATTAACATTTAGCAAAATCAAGGTTTTTGACCTGCCAATATCTAAGGAGCCGTTTATACGACCATTTTCAACTAAAAACGGTTTATGCATAAATAACGGTTTATACATTGGCCGTTCATTTAAACGACACCGGTGTTTTGCTGGGCAAATGGGTAACCATGATTTATCTCAAATACAGGAATATTAATAATCAAAACAAGGCATTGTGTGTATGTTCCCTGTAGTTCAGTAGCATGTGCTTAAAAACAGAATCAGAATGAAACAGAATGTTTAAAGAATATTAAAATCAGAATGAAAAAGAATGTTTTTTCTTGTTTGTTTTTTTAATTATATTGTTTTTGTTATTTTTTTCTAGTTAAAAATTAATTTAAGGAATGCACTCCCCCGCCAACATAATACTCCCATGGTTAGAATATTTCGCTTTGGTGAATGAGCCAGTACTGATATCTTGTTCTTGTCTGGGTTAGTTTTCCTTCGGTTTCTTAATCCAGCTGCCCAGAATCTCCTTCCTTTCCTTCAGCAAGAGTAGTGCTGTGAAACTGGATCCTTCAAAACACAGAGAAGATGACAATCCACTGACACACTCACGCCAAAATAAATGGCAGAAAATGAGCAAATGGATGTATTCAAAAATTGTACTTAAGCCACATTTAAAAATGTATGAATGTCATTGCACGAGAAAATATGACAAAACATGGCACTTCCATATCCATTGAAATGCAGACATTTTTAAGCGTGGCTCAATTGTACTTTTACAGAAGGCATGTCATATTATTTTACCTAATACAAGAAGTAGTAACCAGCCCATAAGCATTTATGGGGAATAAATGGACATCGATGCAGGTACTTTAGGTTGGACTGAATCCGTCGCTTCAGGCAATTGTGAGTTTACATCACGCAATTCTGGAAAATATGTCAGAATTGTGAGAAATAAAGGTCACAATTACCCTTTTTTTTCAGTGGCGGAAACAAACTTCCATAGTAATCACGGACATTCGCATTCAGACGGGATTAGATTATTCATTATTCATGTCACTATTATTCATTGAAGCAAACATGAAATACACAAACCTTAGAAGGCCCAGTATATTCCACAGATAAAACTGCACACACACGATTGGTTTACTCTGAAACTCTTCCAGACTGATGAGGAGAAACAGAAGGACATTTCTCTCCATTACCTGTAAATGGAAAACAGCATTAAGGAATAATACATGTAACGTTACATATACAAATCATGTATCCTTGAATCCTTAAACTAATCTATCCCAATAGCTCTGAAACAGACACACATTTCTTTCAATTAGGCACTTCCTTAAATCTTGATTTGTGGCAACAGTTTGGGAAATATTTCATAATATCACAAAAAACAGGAACTAGGTCTTTTGCAAATGAACACTTAACAATAACAGTACATGAATAATAATGTACTATTACTTGAAATAATAGTGCTGTGAATGTGGTCTTTAAATTTTACCTGCATAAAGCGAGGGAAAAGTCTGCACTCCTCAAAACCGTCTGCTATGTGAAACAGTTCTAACAAAGACAGAAGCTGACAAACACCCATCGTAACACCTACAAAATAAAAGGTGCCGGCCTGGGCATCTAAGAACACAACACAGGATATCAGAACAGGTTTGGGATTATTTAAAGCAATAAAACAGTCCATCTTAATGCATCTATAGGGGCTTTCGCACCGGAACCTTTTCATAGTTCCTAAAACTATTGGCGAACAGGAACTAGGAACGATTTCAGTTCTAGGAACTCTTTTGGAGGAACTAATTTAGCTGGTACTTCAGAGTCGGGTCTAGACCAGCACTATAGGAACTACCAGTGACATTAGTGTTCACTGATTGGACGAATACACGCGAAACAATAGCACCAGCCATTTTTTAAAAAAAATGTCTTTGTCTTTGTTTCCACAGTATTTTCAATTTTGACATTTTTTCAGTCAAACCGTTGTTGTCTATCAGTCATAGACTGGAGCATAAGGGGGTCCACCAAAAAGCATGCACAGAGAAGTCAAAATTAAACATGATTTAATGACTCGTAAATGTAAGTACACATTGATGGCCTAAGACACGAAACGAGTGGTTTTAGTGAGAAAACGAACAGTATTTATATAGTTTTTACCTCTTGTAATCATAGCCATGACAAAAAGATCTGATGGTACGGGTGCTTCAGTCTGCGCATGCGCCGGAGGTGATCGCTTGCGCGCCTATGTAACTCTTTTTTTATACAGAGATTTCTGAAGTTTTACCTTTCACTAAACATGTTTAGATACGGGAAATCGCAATGGAAGACGATTTCGGTATATTTAAATATGTTTAGTAAAAAGTAAAACTTCCGAAATGTCTGTATAAACAAAGAGTGACGTAGGCGCACAAGCGATCACTTCCGGCGTAACATTGAACTGATTCATTTCGGTTCAGTTGGACATTGCACAACTGATTCAGATCACTTGGACGTCACTGTGGTTACACGAGGTAAAAACGATATAAATACTGTTCGTTTTCTCACACAAACCGCTCGTTTCGTGTCTTAGGCCATTAATGTGTACTTACATTTATGAGTCATTGAATCATGTTTAATTTTGACTTCTCTGTGCATGCTCTTTGGTGGACCCCCTTAGGCTCCAGTGTATGACTGACATTTTTCAGTCAAACTGTTGTTGTCTGTCAAAATTGAAAATACTGTGGAAACAAAGACACCTACATCTTGGATGCCCTTGAGGTAAGCTAAAACATATCAAAAATTAATTTCAAAGTGAACTATCCCTTTAAATAAGTAGGCAAGTATTTTCAGCAGAAAATGTATATTATCTATATAAAAAAGTAATAGCATGTCTATTAAAAAAGCAGGCCTGGTTTCACAGACAGACCTTAGATTAAGCCAGGAATAGACTTTAGTTCAATTAGGACATTTAAGTGAAAAATAACATTAAAGGTGTGCATCTTGAGACAAAACAAGGGCACTGACTGCTGTTTTAAGATATATCAGTGCAAGTTGCTTTTAGTTAAAACAGCGCAAAGACATGCATTTTAGTTTTAGAGAGATAGTTCATGCCAAAATGTAAATTCTGTCATTAATGACTCACCTTCATGCCGTTCCAAACCAGTAAAACTTTTGTTCATCTTCAAACAAAAATGAATGAGCTTGACAGCTATGCAACTACCACTTAGACACTTCAAAAAGTTCATAAAGAGATTGTAAACTAATCCATATGAATTAAGCGGTTTACTTTACATTTTCTGAAGAGACTCGGTCGCTTTATATGATTTTTTTAATTTAGGCTTATTCACATTTAAAGGAGTAGTTCACTTTTAAAAAAAACTTGCTGATAATTTACTCACCCCCATGTCATCCAAGATGTCCATGTCTTTCTTTCTTCAGTCGAAAATAAATTAAGGTTTTAGATGAAAACATTCCAGGATTTTCTCCATATAATGGACTTCATTGGGAACCAAACAGTTCAAGGTCCAAATGAGAGTTTCAGTGCAGCTTCAAAGGGCTTTAAACGACACCAGACGATGATTAAGGGTCTGATCTAGCAAAACGATCGGCCATTTCAAAAATAAATAAAAAAGGTTTAAGTTTTATAAGCACAAATGCTCGCCTTGCTCTGTTCTGTGATGCGCGTTCGTGACTCTCCTGTTCAAACTCCTTCATCAAAATGAACAAATCTTTTTTCGAGTCATGACTCGAAGGGTCCTAGATAAGACCCTTATTCATCGTCTGGTGTCCTTTAAAGCTGCACTGAAACTGTCTTTTGGACCTTGAACCGTTTGGTTCCCAATGAAGTCCATTATATGGAGAAAATTTCTTTTTGACTGAAGAAAGAAAGACGTGGACATCTTGGATGACATGGGGGTGGGTAAATTATCAGCAAAAGTTTTTTTAAACTGAACTACTCCTTTAATGTCAGTAACATATTAAAGAGCACTAGTCAACATCTAAATGCTTTACTTGAGAATGGCGAGCGGCAACAATCGTTTAGATTTCCAAATACCTACAAGACTTCACATTAGGCCTGGTTTCACAGATTAGGCAAGAACTAGGACATTTAAGAAGCTTTCATAAACGTAAACATCCGCGTATTTTGAGACAAAACAATGGCACTGAGATTTGAATATTTAGTATCAGTTGCTTTCAGACGTAAGACTTGTATGTGAAACAGGGGTTGATGTAAATATGTCCTTTCCCCGAGTCACCTGATTTGCCTGTTATTTGCGTTTTTAAATAAAGAGATTTGTTAATGTAATGCAGGCGGTGGATGGCACTGTGATGGCAGAGCTGCCCTGGTTTTTATGGGTCTGTTCATGGCAGAAATTTGTGAAAGGTGTGGCGAGTCAGCAACATCATGACAAAGGTGAAATCCCACATTTATTCTGGATTCTGCTGCTGCGCTGGGAGATCACCTGTAGAGACATGAAGGCCTCAGTAACTCTGCTGCTCTTTTTGAGTCTCTTTGAGACGAATCTCAGCGTCTACAGATATCACTTTTTCGTGAATGTGACTATGCCCTGGAAAGAGGCACAGGATCATTGCAGAGCGCACTACGATGACTTGTCCACTATCCGTAGCAAAGATTTACAGATGCTCTCTACCAATCGTGAAATTAAAACTACTTATTTTTGGATTGGACTTGAGAGAGATGGTGAAGACAATAACAAGTGGGTATGGTCCGAAGGCGGGGAGGCGACGATAACGTTTTGGAACGAAGGAGAACCAAATTTTGATCATGAAAAATGTGGCGCTATCGGTAAACGGACATATAAATTGTTTGACGCACCATGCACCATGAGTCTTGAATTTTACTGTATGAGGGTCTTTGAGCTGATCCTGGTGCAGCAGAAAAGCACATGGGAAGAGGCTCTGCTATACTGCAGAAATAACCACATCGACCTGGCCATACTCAACTCAGAAGACATCATGGAAGAAGCGCAGAGAAAGAGCACAGCAGCCGATACAGATTACATGTGGACCGGACTGCGCTTCATCGCTGGTCACTGGTTCTGGGTGAATGGAGAAGGCATGGGCTATAAGGTCTGGTCTGCGGGTGCAGAGCCCAAGTGTCCTGCCATGGATCAGCGCTGTGGGGTTTATGATCGAACACAGAACGTTTGGAAACCCGCAGACTGTGAGCAGAGACTCAACTTTCTCTGCGTCAAGAAGGGATACAAGTCTAATCTTTGAAGGTTAGCAGATACTGTGAACGGAGAGTTTCTCGCATAGTCATTTTCAGAAACATCTACTTTCTTTGCTTTGTGTTTGTAATGATGTTTTTTTTTTTCATCATGATGATAATGATTTTACAGACAAAGTTGCTCAAAATATTGGCCTGTGTAATGCGTAAGAAATCAATTTAGCAGCACTCATGTCACTTATTTTATTCAATGTATAGAAATGTTCAAAAACTGACTTGTAACTAAATAAATGAATGTTTGGATTCTTTTATTTAATATTCACTGCTGTTTTGGTGGCAGCACACGTCTCGCTGCGTACAGTTAGTGACATTAGAACAACTTTTTCTTACACCAGTCTGCTGACATTCCCACCTCCATCTGTAAGTTGGACTCTATCAAGGACTTAGAAAATGTTTTGATTAATTTACATTTAGAATATTTGACAATAAGTTCATTTGACTCGTGCTAAAAGATATTCTGGCATCATTAACCCACCATTTATTTGAGTAACAGTGAATTTGTTTTTGTTTTGTTTTGTTTTTTTCATTCCACAAAGTGTCTCCATTTTCAATTTTATGTCTAAAAATGTTATCTGTCTTAAATTACTTTGTAGGTGTTGGTGTAGAACAATGTATACAAACTGTGTGCTGGTTTCAGTAATGATCAGTGAACAAAAAAATATTTATAAAGGCAAGACATTATTCTATTATTTTGACCTTGGTTTCTTAAAGGCATGCCTAAAGAGTGTTCTGCTCCCGGACACTGCTAATCTGCGAATATTTTTAAACTTAGCGTTGATTATGACCGTCGATAATGTATAACCAGGCTCTTTAGTTCGCTTTAAGACAATACTGGCTCCAAAATGTTCTAAAATACTGTTTAATGGGTTTTTAACCCTGACAGCATTTAAAAGTTGAAATTGTGGGTTTATATGGTCAGGTACTGAGTGTGTCATTATATTATTAACATTTAGCAAAATCAAGGTTTTTGACCTGCTAATATCTAAGGAGCCGTTTATGCGACCGTTTTCAACAGAAGATTTTTTTATGCGTTTTAGCCATTCATTTACACGACACCGGTGTTTTGCTGGACAAATGGGTACTTTCAGTACCATGATTTACCTGTAGTTCAGTAGCATGTCCTTTAAAAACATAACATCAGAATGAAACAGAATGGTTTTTTTTTAAACTGATATTGTTTTTGTTTGTTTTTTTCTAGTTAAAAATGTAATTTAAGGAATGCACTCCCCCGCCAACATAATACTCCTATGGTTAGAATATTTCGCTTTGGTGAATGAGCCAGTACTGATATCTTGTTCTTCTCTGGGTTAGGCTTCCTTCGGTTTCTTAATCCAGCTGCCCAGAATCTCCTTCCTTTCCTTCAGCAAGAGTAGTGCTGTTAAACTGGATCCTTCAAAACAGAGAGAAGATGACAATCCACTGGCACACTCATGCTACACGCCAAAATAAATGACAGAAAATGACCAAATGGATGTATTCAGAAACTGTACTTATGCCACATTCAAAAATGTATGCACGAGATAATATGACAAAATATGGCACTTCCATATGCATTGAAATGCAGACATTTTTAAGCGTGGCTCAATTGTACTTTTACAGAAGGCATGTCATATTATTTTACCTAATACAAGAAGTAGTAACCAGCCCATAAGCATATATGGGGAATAAATGGACATCGATGCAGGTTCTTTAGGTTGGACTGGATCCGTCCCTTCAGACTCAGACCAGTAAGGCAACATATGTACAATGGTTATTCCTAAAAATATAAGAAAGGGACAAAAAAAAGATTGTGGTTAGAGATGCAAAGCTGTGCACAATGTTTTACCCTAATGAGGCTCATTTTTCTGTATTGTTAAATGAAGTGAGGCGTGACTCTTTATCACAGTTGGACATGCTGCAGCAGGATCAGGCTTTCTCAACACATTTCCTGACAAACTCCCATAAAGCCTTAAGACAAGTGCGCTAACTCATTTCCGGCTGGCTCAGATCAGCTTTCTATTTGATACGAAGCTTTTAAGACGATTTGTGCAGGCCCAGACACGTGCTCATGTGTTGAGCAAAAATTTGGGATGTACAATGTCAGTTTGTAAGTTGCAAACTTGGTTGTATCAAAAAAGCATCAATTACTGTTTGAAACGGATGGATATGACAAGTATCATTTTCATCATTAGTTATTTCTAGTGGACATCAGAATTCAAGTTGAAAATGATGGCAAGACTCTAAAAAACAAGTTTTTTTTCTTCGAAATATTTTTTGTTTTTGTTTTTTGGTTGTGGTCAATTTTCTTTTTAAACATTAAAAATCTTACAAATGCAGATATGATTACAAATGTCTACTGTACATATATTATCTATGTATTAGCAGTGCAAAGCAAAGTTTCAGCTAAATTTGAACTTCCATAAAGAAACTTAATATTTTATGTTCTATGTTATTTTCCAGAGAAATATTGTTTCTGTTATTACTATTCATCTATAGTGTCTCCCAACCAGGGGGAAACATTTGCAGTCCTGATGCTCTTAACAATTGTATAAATATATATTTATTTCCAAAGCGATCTGATCACATATGATGGCATTTACCGTATTTTTTTTTCCAAATTGCCACAGTATCTTAGATAATATTAGCCTGGATGCCAGCCCGAACTCCGCCCACAACATTTTTTGGACGGGAAGTTCGGTCTGGACTCGATCCATTGAGGAGTAATTATGATCGGTTCAGAAATCATCGGGCCAATCAAATTGCCAGGGCGGGCTTTATACGATGATTGACAGGTGGTCTTCAGTAACATAATCCTCACGTCATCAAAGTGCGCTTGTCAAAGATGACTGCAGCTGGAGAATTGAGATGTATTCCGCTGTCGCGTCTTTTGTAAAAAAAAAACACCGAACTGCAATTAAGGCATTTGTCGATCGGAAAGATATTTTTGGCGTCCTTCCTACATGATTCGGGAAAAGTGTAACTTATCAGCTGGCTCTGACGGTCGCTAAGAAGATGGGACGTAATGAAAAGCCTGTGGTCGCTGTGGTTTATCCTTTGGTGGCACTCATGGAGAAGTAAATAAAAGAAGCAACACTCGTTATTTAACTTCTAAAATAAATAAAGTAGGCTACGTTCTGTATTGAAAACTGCGCTATGCAAAGGAGTTGACTTATGCGTTGCTCTGATTGGTTGGTAGGTCTACCGACTATCCAATTGAGTGCAGAGGTTTTTTTTTTGTCCTGGTTCGGTTACGACACGCCTCATAATCAAAGCCCAATGGAGGAGTTTCAGACTCATATTCTTTCTTGAATACGAGTATGACGAAGTCAGGCTAAGATAATATTGTAATTGTAATCATCTGTACCTTCTGTGACAGCAGACAGCAAGTACACTGGAACTGACAGCGTTTGATGCACCCACAGCATTTTCAAATACGGTGTGCCTGTGAGGCAAAATAACTCGTGTGGATACCTGTAGGACAAACAAACCACAATATGACCAACAGAACTACCACATTTAGCATCTACCACACTCTGAAGCCCTATTCATATAGGACTAGTTTTCTTATTGGTTATTTGAGTTACAATTCTTATCACTCGACATCTGTGATTTCATGTACCGATCCGGATGGGACTAAAATCTAGAAGTGGACGTTACAGAAGCTCATCTGCATCACATACGAGACATTTATATAGAAGTGGCTGTTTATAATAACCCACAAAAGTGAGCAAAGTCTTCTAAACAAGTTTCTTACCTGACACTGATATTAAAATATCTTAGCAGTTTCCGGGATTTGGGCTCTATTTATTCATTTTATCATTTAAATTTTTCGTCAAATGCCATCATTAATTAAATGAAAGCATGAAAAAGGAAGCATTAGTATAATACAATATCAGTTATAATAGTTTATATCTTGCAATTCTGCTTTAATTCAGAATTGTGACTTGTTTTCTCAGAACTTTGTGATATAAAGTCGCAAGTGTGTTATAGAGTCAGAATTACGAGTCAGTCTTTTTTTCCTCAAACTTGGACTAGATTACAACAGGCAATTGTGAGTTTGCATCACGCAATTCTGGAAAATAAGTCAGAATTGTGAGAAATAAAGGTCACAATTACCCTTTTTTTCAGTGGCGGAAACAAACTTCCATAGTAATCACGGACATTCGCATTCAGACGGGATTAGATTATTCATTATTCAATGCAAACGTGAAAGACACAAACCTTAGAAGGCCCAGTATATTCCACAGATAAAACTGCACACACACGATTGGTTTATTCCGAAACTCTTCCAGACTGATGAGGAGAAACAGAAGGACATTTCTCTCCATTACCTGTAAATGGAAAACAGCATTAAGGAATAATACATGTAACGTTACATATACAAATCATGCACCTTAAACTCATCTATCCCAATAGCTCTGAAACAGACACACATTTCTTTCAATTAGGCACTTCCTTAAATCTTGATTTGTGGCAACAGTTTGGGAAATATTTCATAATATCACAAAAAACAGGAACTAGGTCTTTTGCAAATGAACACTTAACAATAACAGTACATGAATAATAATGTACTATTACTTGAAATAATAGTGCTGTGAATGTGGTCTTTAAATTTTACCTGCATAAAGCGAGGGAAAAGTCTGCACTCCTCAAAACCGTCTGCTATGTGAAACAGTTCTAACAAAGACAGAAGCTGACAAACACCCATCGTAACACCTACAAAATAAAAGGTGCCGGCCTGGGCATCTAAGAACACAACACAGGATATCAGAACAGGTTTGGGATTATTTAAAGCAATAAAACAGCAACTATTAAAAACAGTCCATCTTAATGTATCTATAGGGGCTTTCGCACAGGAACCTTTTCATAGTTCCTAAAACTATTGGTGAACAGGAACTAGGAACGATTTCAGTTCTAGGAACTCTTTTGGAGGAACTAATTTAGCTGGTACTTCAGAGTCGGGTCTAGACCAGCACTATAGGAACTACCAGTGACATTAGTGTTCACTGATTGGACGAATACACGCGAAACAATAGCACCCGCCGTTTTTAAAAAAGCTATGTAAACACACGGATTGTAGCCAGAAACTAACTCTACGAACATGTGAAACAGTGATAGATTGGCCTCTTAAACTTTACGCTGAGGAGAAAATTCAACGAAACTTTGAGGAGACTAAGCTGAACATGATCATGTATTTCTGCGAGCGGTTGTGACTGGCGATGCGAATGCAACCAGGGGAACCATTAGTTCTCGGAGAACCACCCTGGTGGCTAGTTCCTAGAACTATTCGGTGCTAAAGCCCCTTGAATAGCAAGTATTTTCAGCAGAAAATATATATTATCTATATAAAAAAGTAATAGTATGTCTATTAAAAAAGCAGGCCTGGTTTCACAGACAGACCTTAGATTTCAATTAGGACATTTAAGTAGCTTTTATAAACATGAAAAATAACATTAAAGGTGTGCATCTTGAGACAAAACAAGGGCACTGACTGCTGTTTTAAAATATATCAGTGCAAGTTGCTTTTAGTTAAAACAGCGCAAAGACATGCATTTTAGTTTTAGAGAGATAGTTCATGCAAAAATGTAAATTCTGTCATTAATGACTCACCTTCATGTCGTTCCAAACCAGTAAAACTTTTGTTCATCTTCAAACAAAAATGAATGAGCTTGACAGCTATGCAACTACCACTTAGACACTTCAAAAAGTTCATAAAGAGATTGTAAACTAATCCATATGAATTAAGCGGTTTACTTTAAATTTTCTGAAGAGACTCGGTCGCTTTATATGATTTTTTAATTTAGGCTCTTGTTCAAATTTAAATGAGTAGTTCACTTTTAAAAAAAACTTTTGCTGATAATTTACTCACCCCCATGTCATCCAAGATGTCCATGTCATTCTTTCTTCAGTCGAAAAGAAATTAAGGTTTTAGATGAAAACATTCCAGGATGTTCTCCATATAATGGACTTTATTGGGAACCAAACAGTTCAAGGTCGAAATGAGTTTCAGTGCAGCTTCAAAGGGCTTTAAACGACACCAGACGATGAATAAGGGTCTGATCTAGCAAAACGATTGGTTTTATGCAAAACGATATAAGTTTTATAAGCACAAATGCTCGCCTTGCTCTGTTCTGTGATGCGCGTTCGTGACTCTACTGTTCAAACTCGTTCATCAAAATGAACAAATCTTTTTTCGAGTCATGACTCGAAGGGTCCTAGATAAGACCCATATTCATTGTCTGGTGTCGTTTAAAGCTGCACTGAAACTGTCTTTTGGACCTTGAACCGTTTGGTTCCCAATGAAGTCCATTATATGGAGAAAATTTATTTTTGACTGAAGAAAGAAAGACGTGGACATCTTGGATGACATGGGGGTGAGTAAATTATCAGCAAAAGTTTTTTTAAAAGTGAACTACTCCTTTAAACATTGATCAGCAAACATAAACAGTTCAACCAAACCTGTTTGACACGCGAGAATAAACCTCATTGGTTCTTGTAGAAGCTCAAAAATGCTGCATAACAAGAGAATGAACCTCATTGGTTCTTGCACATCAAGCGAACATGCTTGAGCTTCCGTTAACCATAGCTGATGTGCGAGTTCATGAATGTTTATATGTGAATAAAAGCCTATCATATAAAATGACCATGTCTCTCCAGAAAATGTGGACTAAACCACTCAATTGGATTCATTTTACAACCTCTTTATGAACTTTTTGAAGCGTCAAAGTGGTAGTTGCATAGCTGTTAATGGAGGGACAGAAAGCTCTCAGATTTCATCAAAAAGCTTTTATTTGTGTTCTGAAGATGAATGAAAGTCTTATGAGTTTGGAACAACATGAAGGTGAGTAGACTAAACAACGACAGAATTTTCATTTTTGGGTGAACTAACCCTTTAAGTCTCATCTCTAAAACCAGCGGATAAAGTAAAATGTTTGATGTGTGTGAAAATCAAGAGCCCTTTCGTAAGTGATCTGCTTTGGTTGTTACACAACTCTTAACAGCCACTTTCTCTAACCACATCTGTGTACAATTAGGACAGCTAAACAAACTGAGTGATTGTTTAACATACCAGATTATTTACATAAGCAGCCATTTCAAATGCTAGCTCATAACTGTTGCTTACCTTCCCCAAAAGAGAGAAATCTGGCTGTCATATTCGTGAAAATCCATGTGTGCCCACAGAACTGAAGCAAGTTGTATGAAAAGAGATATATAAGACTGAGGCTAAACCTGCAAAAGATCACATTTAAGTAATAGACTTATACAGCAAATGAAAATAAGTTACTTAAAAACTTAAAATTGAAAAGTTTTGTTCATGTAGAAAATTATTAATAGCTGCCACTTATTCAGTCATTTTTATGCATAATTGAGGTTCATCTGCCGCAACTTGGAAGGCCCTTCTATTTTATGATATTTGTAAATTACCCATAATAAAGTAATAAATAATTTCAGGACTTGTCAATGTGGTTCCAACACTGATCCCAAACTCTCAAGCGATGCGCTGTTGTTGTTACGTCCTCACCTCAGGAGATCGCGAGAGTTGATCGAAAACACTCGAACTAACGTAATACGATTTGTTAATCTAACGTCATCTAAAACAGAATCTTTAGAACGCGTCCCGTTCGTTGAGTTCCATTCGGCTCCGTTTCGGCTCAACGCCCCCAAGAAGCTTTCAGAATCTCACATTTTGTTTTATTTCTTTAGTATTATTGTTGTTGCTATTATTATAGAGGTTAAATACAAAGCTACCTTTTTATTATTGCTATGCTGCATCCTTGCAACAACAACTTAAAGTCCGGTCTGATATTTGATATCGTCTATATGCAGATAGGGCATTTTGTGAGGCTGCGCGCTGATGACCGACATTAACAACTGAATGATGTCAACAATACACGTCGATTGAACGATGCTGATATTTACCTCATTCCTCCCAAGCTTCCGTCGTGATAAGACAAAATAAGGCATTAGGGCGAAATCAAAAGTGTGAGGAAGCTCTGATCACAATCACAGAACTCCCCCTCTGACGTCAAGAGGGCAGATCTACAGTTAGTTTTCCCAACACACTACAAAGGGAATGTGTGCTTGCCTTGATATTTGTGATGTTCGTCTCGTTCGTATGTATGGCACGTTCGTATGGCACGAGCCACAATCAATCAATTCGATAGCCAATGTTTAACAATGTTTATAACAATGTTTTAGTTGTTGTGTGTTAGTTTTTACTATTTTAGCATTCCATAGGCATTCTATTCCTAGCAATAGATCGACATTTCTAATTATATTTTGAATTTTTGTTAAAATAGATTTTTAAAATTCTATTTACAAGTGTTATCCTTAAGAGAATGTAATAATTTACATTTGCAATTAATAATAAAAATAACTTTAACCAGAGAAACAAGCATAGTGCAGAAGCAGAAACATGTGTTGCATGAATAATTTTATAAACAGTGTCAATTTGGGAGCTAAAGAAATTAAGAAAATCCTTAGGCTACACAATGGGCTCTATGCACGGCGGTATTTCCAGTGAAGGTCTAAGGATGCTCGATAACTTCCGCCGATCGTAGAGTCCAATGCAATACTCCATGGTTATACTAAAGAAACGTTAGTCACAAAAACAGACACCCCTCGTTGTGTTTATGCTTCTTTTTAAAATTATATTAAATAAACATGACTATATATAAAATTACATCTAAACATATGAAAGTTTAGTTTCAAAGACGGGAGGACAGTAAATTTTGAAGACTCTGCCATAATCCCGTTTTCCTCTGTTTTCCTCCACTTTAATCTACACAACCGGAAACTAAAGAGCATCCTTGCGTCAAACGCATAACTTATGCGTGCATATAGCCTATTGATTTGAGAGACAGGCAGAGAGGTACCAACATTAACTCTGAAAAGTCTGTTTATAGTATGAAAGTGATGCCTAGGATTACTTTAACTATTATCTATAATCTGAGAAAAATAAAGAGACCCAATTGCAGATCTATATTCCCCCAGGTGGTCTTTCCAAGCTTGATAAAATACATTCAGGCCTGAGTCATGCCACTTGCGCTCCAGTTTACGGCAAGCTGCTTTCCTAAAGCGCATCTCATCATATACCAAGGGGCAAAACGATTAAAAGATACTGTGTGACTTCAAGGGAGCAAAAAAAATCAAGTTTTAGATCTTCTTTTGGAAAGACCACTAAGAGGAGACAGCAGATAGAGACTGCAAAATCTGACGGATCGATTGATTTCCATTTACGGAAATTAACACGGAAATTAAATAATGAAGATCTATTCAAAATGCCGTCATGATGCATCTCAGGTAGGCTACAATTGAGTGTCTGATTTGCATATTAAATCGTTGTTGTTGTTGTTGTTTAGATTTTACCATCATCTGTAGTAGCCTCATATTTAAATGTGGAGAATCTTAAGGGAACACACAAATGGCTACAAAAAGACTATCAACATGCTAAGAGACAGTTGTGAAAAAGACAACAATCCAAACACATCTGAGCTGTTAAGCTCCAAAATGAACACATTTTTTTTATGCAAAGCATTATAATGTCTTCAATAAAACACATGCACTACATTCCGAGTCTTCAAGCTGTTTTTATTGGTCTGTTTTTATAAATCTGAGAGGTTTAGAGAAAAGTCAGCATTCTCCTCAAATAAAGGTGGAGCAACACCATCCACATCTTCATTTGGGGGATATCTGCATTAACATCTTTTTGAGTCTTCTTGAGTACTTTACAGCTCCTGTGCGCCGCCCTAGCATGAATCAATGTTCATGTTTATGTTCATTATCAGGCATGCTCTCATTGCCAATAGAACCACTTTTGCAAAGATTGAGAAGGGTTTTAAATGGCCTTACATTGATGAACTGTGAAAGTTCTTTTGTTTTATCAGCTTATGCTGATGATGTTGTTGTAATTGTAAAAGAGCAAAATGATGTAAACCTTTTCATTAAAACTTTGGATGAGTCTGAAATGGTATCAGCTGCAAAAGTGAATTGGTCAAAGAGTGAAGCTGTATTGGTGGGAGAGCGGATAACAGTGCCCCCCAAACTCCCTGGTGGTCTGACATGGAAAAAAAGATGGGTTAAAGTATTTGGGAGTTTGTTTGGGGGATGAGTCTTTTCAATTAAAAAATTGGTAAGGGATGATTGAGAAAATAAAGGTCTGCTTGTATAAATGGAAGTGGATTAAGAAAATATTTTCCAATAGGGGTCGAACCCTTATTATTAATAACCTTGTTGCTTCATCTCTTTGGCATCGACTGATTTCAGGGTTCCCACACTTTGGTTAACATCAAATTCAAGGACCTTTCAAGGACTTTCCAGGTCCAATACCAAAATTCAAGGACTTAATATGGGGACACATTTCAAGTGATAGCAAGTTCACATTGTGTATGTAAGATACATTGTTACAGTTTTCATCTGTCAAACAACTAGGCAAAGCTTTTTTTTTCTTTTTTTGCATTTATTTTTGGCCATATGACAGAGATCTGATATTCCATTTGTCATATTAATGTTTTTGCATAACACCGAAGCATGTTTGGTACATCCTAATCCTATAAAAAAAATATTATATAAAATAAAAATGTGTCAAGGTCCTGGAACTGATTATGTCAACATGACAACTTGACAGCTCAACAATAAAACATGAGAAAACATGAGATCAAGCATGTGAACTTGTAACAGAACACATAATATTTTACATTTAATTATTTTATTTATTTCTACATAACGAATCGGTTACCTAATGTAACCTCGGTTCTTTTCTGAGAAGTTGAAGCCAAAAAATTATCCTTTAATTTTGTATCCATTGTCAACGCAGTTCACTGCAGCAGACCATGAGTGGGCTAGCTAGCAGCTCATTGGTTCGCTCAGGAAGAACTGCTACAGCCTATGAGGGAACTCGTTTGAACTCGCGGCCAATAAGAAGCTGACACGCTCTCATTGCATCAAAGCCCGCCAAAACGGTGTGGCCCGAGTCTATAAATAGGCGAGTTTCCCGCTGTTTTCCGGTTTTCATTGAATGAAGCGAGAACACTAGTAGCGCAAGCACGGCCGGGAACGCAATACTCGTTCCCTCATCTAGAGAGAACCGAGGTTACGTTAGGTAACCGATTCATTCTCTTACGAGAGTTTCTCTCGTATTGCGTAAGCTAGCTTACGCTACAGGAACACTTGGTCAACGGCGTGCGCGCTAAGCATCCACAATGAGTCCCGGGGGAGGGACCCTGGGGGACCCTTATAAGTGGGAAAATAATGTACGTGAAAATAAAAGGGCCAGCAAGCGGGCCGGTAATTGTGTAGTACATAAGCACAAGAGGGAAGAACAAGCGGCACGCCGGTTGTATGAGTGTGACTCCCAATAGTGCAGCTCAACATAAGAGCTGAAGCATACTAGACTGCTAGTAGCTTTGCCTGCAGCCAGGGCGGGTACTTCCAGATTGTAAAATCTGACAAAGGTGGAGGGGGAAGTCCATCCCGCAGCCACGCATATGTCTTGAATGGAAATGCCGCTGGACCATGCCCACGATGAGGCCATGCCTCTAGTGGAATGAGCCCTGATGCCCAGAGGGCATGGCAGGTCTTTTGATGCATAAGCAGAAGCAATAGCGTCCACAATCCATCTGGATAGTGTCTGTTTCGAGGCGGCCAGACCCTTGGAGCGCCCACCGAACTAAACAAAAAGCTGCTCAGAGGGTCTGAACGCGGCAGCATGTGTAGTGTACAATCTCAGAGCCCGAACCGGACAAAGGAGACGTGGGATAGAGAAATAACCTGAGCCCTGAACGGGGTACCAATCGCTTTGGGGACATGGGACACAGGTTTGAGGATGACTATGGAGTCATTGGGTCCAAACTCGAGACACGCTGCACTAGAAGAGAGCGCGTGAAGGTCTCCCACGCATTTTACTGATGACAGGGCAATCAGAAAAACATTTGTTTAGCGAGAGGTATTTTGGGTCCACAGACTCTAACGGTTTGAACGGGGGGGGGGGTTTCATAGCTTCGAGAACTATAGACGAATCCGACGAGCGTTCTGTGTAGGCTGCCATCTTGTGGCGACGCCATTACTGAGCTGTTACACAGGCATAGACATGCACCGGTATGAAACAAACCTCGGTGATAACGCGAACTCACCCTCGATGACAGCTAACGTTACAGCCAGGCAGAATGACTTGTTGGTTTGATCTGTGACTGCAGTGGCCTCCAGTCACAGATGAAGGTACAAACGATCTTACAGATTAACGTTATTTATGAAAATAGCTTGGCAAGCTAGCTAGGCTAACGTTTGCTAACGAGGAAACTATAAAAAGATCTGTCCATTTGGCAACAATAAATAAATAAATGAATGAAATCAAATAAACAAATTCATGATTTTCATTTGTGTCCATTATTTATCTCATTTTCACATTGCAACAGGCAAGGGTAAGGTAACGTTACAGCTAGAAAGTATACATAATATCGACCAATTAGTGTTTTTAAACCATGGAAAGAGGTCAATATAACAGCGGGAGAACAATTATGTCACATAACGTTACATTTAGCTTAGGAAAGCCATTTAATGACCATAGCATGTTAATTGAATAGAAAAAATAGCAAGAGAGGAGATTTTGCTGATGACTATATCACACATTTATTATATTTTTTTTTACTTATGTCATTAAATAATTGTTATTATACGCGAATGTCCACGTCTTGTACTCGCCCAGGAAATCTGTAAACCGTACGGCACCAGACAGGGGCAGTCGACCCGGGGTATTCACAGTGATTTCTCTTCAAAATTTAAATTTTACTGCCACCATTGAAACAATTTATAACGGAAACTGTTTACCCACTCGACATTATACAACGGATAACGTTGTAACGTTAGTGACAGTCGTAAATCGCGGGCTGTTTATTCCAGTGGACGCAAGTTGCAACTAAAACAATAGGAGGCAATGGCGCAACGCTACCCAGCAACAGCTCAGTAATGGCGTCCCGCTTACTTCCGGTAGTTTCGCCGGATTCGTCTATAGAAG